TCTCTCATTAGCTGCATGAGGGCTTGCTAAGTAAACAGGTTCGAGCGGTTTTTCTTTGCACAGCTAAAACTTAGAATTCCCTTAGGTTTGATGAGTGGGTCGATACCAAAACTACTAAGACCTTTGTGCCACACCTGTTCCAAGTTTCCGACAAGACTGGAGGAATGAACGTCGAAGAGATCGCTAATTATAATCAGGAGGTAAGCAAGGAGTGTAATGGATCCCGGGTCCCCTCCAGGAGGCCCGTCGCGCGACAAGAAGGCGAGTCAGCGGACGAGTTCGCGCGCGTACTGTAGGGATTTCGCGTCAAGTTAAATAGAATGTCCATTGCACGTCCTACATCGGCGCTGCGACTCGTCCGCGACTCTGCCTTCTTGCCGCGCGACGGGCCTCCTGGGGGTACCCAGTGGATCCCATATACCCTCCTTTTCAAAAATGAGAAGAGCGTCGGGTGCAGACCATACACCACAAGTGACGACGGCCTCCAAGTAAATCTGGGTTCATAGTGATAGCTGATTTGGGAAATGTTGTAATTAGTGACAACTGATAGAATACAACTGCAACAGGCTGAATCATTTCATTGGTAGGGAAAATTCACATTTTGTGGTGTATGGTCCACACCAAACGCTCTTCTCGTTTTTTGGAAGAAAGTATGTGTTTTGGAGACTTTCGACGGCCTGACTTCGAGAATACGATTTTTTAATCACTTCAGAGTCTTGATGGTGACGACGTCATGATACTTGACGCCCTTAACCGTATCTATGTATGGGTTGGGGAAGGCGCTAACCCAAGTGAGAAAACTAATGCGGTCCATACAGCTGAGGCAAGTTAATTTCGCGCCTTTTGAGATTCTATGATTTCTTCACAGCACAACAAAACAGGTTGAAAGTGGTGACAATATTCGACAGGGAAATTGAGAACATCTCAGATCCGACAGCAAGGGTGTGTGATTTCCTTTTTTCGAGAGAGTGACAAAAGTGTAATGATAGCGCCGTTGAGGGTGATGCAGTTGGAAAGCACAGGCCCGAATGGGCCAGACTCATAATCGTAGCCGTTTCAGTCGCTTGAAATCATATGTGAGTTCGAGGTGAAACTGAAGTTTTTATGAGTAGGTAGGCTGGGTGAGTT